AGAGAAGAGAGAGAGAGAGAGAGAGAGAGAGAGAGAGAGATGCTGGAGTCCAAACCCAGGGACTTGCATATCCAAGATCACTACCACTGAGCTATACCTCCAACTTCTGTCTTCTGTTTCTGTTATGAAGAGGCATCTTGTTTTACTGACACTTTATGTCTTACCCAACATGAAACCTGTCCCTTATTTCCCTTTTCTTCTAACAAATAAAAATTAATGCAGTGAGTCATAACAGCCAGCCCTGAAGATGCTTTCTCTGGGGTCCTCCATGATAGTGAGGTTGACCCTCAAAACTGAGGAAACAAACCTCATATGTTGCCTTGGACAGATGTAATCTCCATAAGAGATTTATATATATAAAGAAAAATCATTGTACTTTGCCTGTGCACTGAAAAAAATCATTGTACTTTACCTATGTACTGAAAAAAGTGACCTGCTTTGGATTGGATGTTTTTATATTTTAAAAAGTTGTTACTGCCAGTGTTTATAGTACTTAGACAGGCAATTCCTATCAGCTCCTGAGTGTGTATAGTGAGATGAGGTGAAGACTTGATGCAGTGTTCGATGGATTCTATAATACTGTGCTCTGTCCTCTGAAGGCATGCTATGGTTTTTATAACACACCGGATCAGATCAAGACTAGAGATGATTTGTCCTAATACTGTTACTGCAAACTCACTGGCTTTCTGTAAAATGGTTTGCACTTTATGGAGTTGGCCTTTATATATATTTGCCATTCTTTTGTTTACCCCATCTGCTGCTAGATATGACTTTAGGTATTTATTGGTTAAAAACTCAGGTCAGACTACCATTAACATTATAGAGAAACGCCTTTCATGATCCTTTTCTCAATTTATCTCTAAGCATTAAATTTTTAGAGACAAGAGTGAAAAAACATTTTTAAAAAAAGCCGTAACAAATCAAGGAAACCAATTAACATTTTGGTTTTGGGTGCTTCGAATTGAATCCAGGGCTAAGCATATACCATGGCACTGAACTGTAGCTCCAGCCCTAGGTAATATTTTGCACCAAGAAAATACCCCAGTAACAAGGAAACTTACAAACTTGTATCTGAACCTTGTTAACCTAAAAGTTGTTTTGTGTATATTTTTCTTTTACTCCAGGTCCAAAATGCTAGTGATTTGCTGATCAAACCCTTGGAAAATTTTCGGAAGGAGCAAATAGGTTTCACAAAGGTACATTTTCATATACATGTATATTTACATATAATAAATAAAGTTTTAATAGCAGTGTATAATGGTTTGAGCTATTGTTCTTCACCCTATAAGGTTATGACAGTTAATTTTATATTTCAACTTTTGGGGTCAATGGGCCTACAAGATGCCTAGATAGCTAGTTAAATATTATTTCTGGTTGCCTCTGTAAGGGTGTTTTCAGAAGAGGTTAGCATTTAAATTGCTGTACTGAGTGAAGGTCTACCCTTACCAATTTTGAGTGGGTATCATCCAAACCATTGAGGAATTGAATAAAACAAAAAGATGGAGGAAGGTTGAATTAACTACCTGACCACCTAACCTAGAATATCGGTCTTCTCCTACCCTCAGTCTGCCTTATTTTTAGGCCTTTACACCCAGATTGGAATATGTAACAGTGGCTCTCAGGCCTTGAAATTATACCACCAGCCTCCATCCTGGGTCTCTAGCTCCCAAATGGCAGATCACATGACATGTCAGCTTCCATCATCACATGAGCCAGTGTCCTAAAGAAATTGGTATGAAGAATTGGGAAGCTACTATAATACATACAGTCATGTGTCACTTAACTATGGGGATACATTATGATTAATGTATCTTTAGGTGATTTTTTTCATTGTGTGAGTGTTATACAGAATACTTACACACTCCTAAATGGTCTAGGTCAGTTGCTCGACATGGCACCTTGGTGCAATTAAGAAATGCAATGAACATAAGATTTGTAAGGCTGCTGCCAGTGTAACATAGCACACAGTAAGCATTTTTTATAAGTACGAGTACACTGTAAAACAATGGCAAAAAGGAAATACTTAAGCCAGTAACATAATCATTTATTATTGTTAGTAGTTAACATTGTTTAATGTTAAATACTGTACCTAATTGTATGTGTTATACTTTTTCAGAGCACTGATGGGGTAGGGAGTTTGTTTATACCAGTATCAACACAAAACATTTGTGTAATATCTCATGCTGTCATATTACTATGGAATTTTTCAGCTCCTTTATAGTTGACTGAATTATCATTAATGTGGCACATGAGTGTATCTAAAAAATGTGAAAGCACTGTTAGAACTGGGCAATTGGTAGTGACTGGAAGAGATTTGAGGCACATACTAGAAAAAGCTTATATTGCTATGAAGGAATTTTTAAATTTGGTGAGGGATCAGAAAGAAAAGAGAAGTACAGAGAAAGTTTCCATCTTCTTAGGGAATACACAGATAACCATGTACAGAATGTTGGTAGAAGTGTAGGCATTAAAGGTGATTTTCATGAGGTCTCAAATGGAAATGAGGGATATATTATTGAACAACTGAAAATGGAATTCTTATTATAAAATGATAATGACCTTGGCTGAATTATATTAGTATTCTAATTTATGGAAGGTGAAATTTGTTATTTAGCTGAGGACATTTCTAAGCAAAATATAGAAGCAACAGTTTGGTCCCTCTTTCCTGCGTATAATAAAACTCAACGAGAAAGAAATAATTATTCAGCAAAAATGAACTAATACTTAAAAAATTGTAAATTTCTCAGCCTATTCATATTTCAAAGAATGAAAAAGCAGGTTCTGCAGAGAGCCTAAGGATGTGGCTGAGTGAGCATTTTATAAGATTAGTATGTGTCCTAATCAAGGACTTCTTTAGCCATCTTAACAGAAGCCTGTATAGAGATGGATTTATACTAGTAAAAACACTGCCATTGGAGATTAAAAGAAACAGAGGAAAGTAGATGGATGTCTCAGAACCTGTGCTATTCTTTAAGAAAAGGAAAAGTATCCCAAAGATGATTCAGATACAAACATGCATGCCACTCCCATCACAGGCCTTGGAGGGGAGGCCAATTCCTCCTGGGTTCCAAAGAATAGGCCAGTATCAGAAGGTGAGGGTCCCTTGCACAGTACCTCAAGAGACTGGCCACTGTAGAGAGCAGCGTGAACAGATTCCGTCCCACTCTTCATAGAGAGCAACATTATGTGTCATGGGGAGAGCCAACCTGTGGAGATGGGAGAGTGGCAGTGCTTGTTAGGTGAACAGCTTCACAGCTGGATCAGAAGTTTGCCTCAGGATGAATGTAACTCAAGCACCAACTATATCTGATTTAATGTGACACTGGACTTTCACCTTGTGAATTAGTAGTGGAATGAATTAAGACTTTTGGGGTTGTCGGGGTGGGATGATTGTATTTTGCATGTGAGAAGAGCATGAGGTTTGGGAGACAGGAGTGGGTTGTTATGAGCTGAATGCTTGTATCTGCCTAAATTTGTATTTTGAAAACCTAATGCCCAATATGATGGTTATAGGAGGTAAGGTCTCTGGGAGGTGATTGGGTCATGATGGTAGTGCCCTCATGAATGGCCTTAGTGCCCTTATAAGAAGACACATGACAAAGAATTTATCTGTAGGCCATGTAAAGACACAATAAGCTGATGGCCATCTGCAAAACAAGAAGGCCTTCACTAGACACTAACCTTATGTGTTGATCTTGGGCTCCCAGCCTTCAAAATTGTGAGAAATAATTTTTTGCTGTTTAACCCCTAGTCTGTGATGTTCTGTTGCAGTAGCTAAAACGGAGTAAGACAAAGGGAGTTAGAAGAAAGGAAAGAAAGAAAAATATGAGACAAGGAAAAAATGGAAAGAAATTCTTTGTAAATAGGGGAAGTGGGAGGGGGTGAAGGGAGGGCAGGGAATAGAGAAAAAATAAGAACCAAGATACTTCATGTAAAGGTACAAGATCCCAATGACGAATGTAAATGTACTATATACCTAAAAAGTACCAATAAATGTAATAAAAAAAAAACCACGAAGGGCCAGAGATTTAGCTCAGTGGTGTCATGCCTCCTTCACAAGCGCAAGGTCCTGTGTTTGATCCCTGGTACTGAGGGGGAAAACATGAGAAAAACTGAAAATGGCTTCTAGTTCTATAGATAGCCCTGTAACTGTGGATCAGTTATTTCTCCTTTTAGAATTTTAGTTTCTCTGTCTGAAAAATGAGGAGCTTGGTAATAATACCTTTCATTTAGCAAGTACCTGCTGTTATGGCCTGAGTACTCAGGCAGGTGTTGCACATTTATTGCCTCATTCTATAATCCTAGGAGCTTCTGTTATTCCCATATTCCACCAACAAGGTGATTGAGGTTTGTACATGAGCAAACTTGTAGATAAATAACCTGACCAAACACATGTAGCTAGTTATAGTGGCCTAGATTTAGTTTTTGGTTTTTTAAGCTTTAGATTCCAGATTATTCTGTTAAACAATGTTGTCTAGATTTATGCCATCCTTTATGGAAGGCCACTAGCTATTGAAATAAAATTAACAACTCAGTTCCTTAGTCTTGCAGCCCCATTTCAACTGTTCATTGGTAACATATGACTAGGAGCTATTATGTTAGCTCAGATATAGAACATTTCTATCTTTGTAAAAAGTGCTGCTACAAAGTGCTGTACCACATAATCTCAAAATCATTTCTCTTGTTCTATAAGGTCTTGTAAAGGAGTATGAAGAATATTCAATTTTAAGTCTTTTAAGCTAGGTTTTGGCCTATTTCCAATGTTGTTCCAACACGCAGTTCTACCAGGACTAAAATGTAGCATCTTGACCAAACATCCAGCCCTTTTAGGACTAAGAACTACTATCCAGTGGATATTATTTGAAACATCATGACAGTCAGTTTAGAAAAAGAATAGGAAAGTACCAAATTCTAAAATAAAAGGGGAAACTAATGAAGGTGTACCCCCTGCCTGCTGTGAATCAGCTCAACAGGAGCATTGTTGACAAGGACAATAAAGTGAGTTCTCTAGATAGCACAGCAATACTGCATTCCACTGATTTCACATGGAGTCTCATTAACAATAACATGTAATTGGTAAAAGATGTAATTGAAGGACAGAAGAATTTTTAAAAATTACAAGTGTTCTATGCAAATAGTTAAGCACTTACTAACATGACAACTGTTATACTGAATAAAGAGGATGAAGAAAGTCATATATTGTGAAAACCCTCATACCTGACTTGATTTCATTCTGGGAGAACAGTAGCAAAAGGTAAATAGGGGTGTGCTGCGTGGTTGACCTTACGTCCTCTGAGTGGAGGGCTTTGAATTTGATTATGGTTCAGACCTGAGCTGATGTTTTTACATATTCTGTCTTCCTTAATTCTCACAGGAGACCTATGAGGTAAGATTTTAATATCTATTGTCCCAATGTAGAAAATGATGCTCAGAGAAGGGTTTCATATTTTATCAGTCTTATTTCCTATTTCTTTACCAATGAACCTACTGGCTCACTTGCAAAGACTGGCTCAGTGTGCAACCCATGTCTACAATAGAATATCTAGAATTATCCCAGTAATGAAATTTAGGGTCGAAGAAAGAACACTTAACTAAGGACCAGAAAGTACAGTTTCTAGTCTATCTCTATGTGTTACTTATTTATTGTACCTCAGTTCCATATTCACCCCTCCATACCTGTTCTGTCATAATGGACTGAATTTCTTTAAGTACTATATCTCCTTTACAATGAGTACAATGTTAGGCTTTGTCAGTCAGTAGAAGGTATGGGAGGGACACTGCAGGAGGAAAAGGCTTTCCTGAACTTTTGGGCGGCTGCCTGGTGGTGAAGTGGTGGAGTTCTGACACAACAAATCACAGAACAAACACATAGTACCTCGGTGACCTCAAAACTTCTACTTGACCTGCCAAAAAGCTTCTGCAGGCTTGTTAACATGGAACCAAGCTTTTTGAGGGCCTCCCCCATGTATCCTGTCTCATAGCATTTCTCTGTAGGTCCCCCATGTGACCTACCTGCTGGCTTAAAGGTAAAAATAGTACTGCTGCTCAATCTGCTGGCCCGCTCACACCCTACTTTTACCTTAGGATGTTTCTACTGAAGTGGCGGGCCCTGTGATATTCACCTGCAACCTAGAGCATTCCTAATCTCTCTGCATATTGTCTCCATGGTTTTGGGTTGTTTGCCCCCTACTTGTAC